ATGAAACCAATATATTTTGTGAGGTTATTCCTTTCACTTGTTAGTTCTCTTGGTTGAACGATCGGGTCTTGCAAGATTAATAGTGCTTGCAATTCTCACTTGGCTTATCACTAGGTTTCTTCCGCTTAGAGTGGCGCCTCGACTTTAACAACTTGACTTCTTGATACTCAAAGGTGTTGGATTTCACATATCCCTCATTGTTAAGTTCGGATAGCAAGGTGTTGGGTTCCGTGGAAGTATTTATGTTTCTTCCTCTAATCTTCATTTCTGCTTTCTTTGCATTCCAAAGGTGTTGGGTTTTATATACCCTTTGTTGTTGGATTCAAGATTAAGAAGTTGGGTCCAAGGGAGTACACGAGATCATACAAGAACGGTCCGACACATACTRAAATCTTTCTTGAAGATTTCATATCATTTGGTATCAGAGCTAACTTTCTTGTTTGATCATATCTTTTGTTATCTAGTTTTATCTATTTCTCTCATCTACTTCATTCTACTTATTTTGTTAGAATTCTTGTCGTATAAAGTTTTGAAAAAAAAAATAGAATTAAAAAAAAAGTCGTATAAAGAGTAATACACTTGGGGAGAGTAATATAGGTTTGGGAAACAAATTTGGGGGGATAGGGTGCGAGGTTTACTTATTATCATCAATTGTTAAGCTTGTTGTGTTTTTAGCAACTATGGAAGGAGTAAAGGAGACATTGGAACAAAAGGCATGGAGAGAGACGTTGATGGGTCAATTCAATCAAATGATGGAAACTATGATGGAGAGAATGGATCAATTGGAGGTATCTTTACAAAGAGGCGATGATGGGGGATCTGAAACAACCCCAGACAACCGGAGAAACAGAAACAGAGTTGACAACAATCTTGGTAGCATCAAGATGAAGATTCCATCTTTCCAAGGTAAGAGTGACCCGGAGGCATATATGGAGTGGGAAACAAAAGTGGAGAATATGTTTGGAGTTCATAACTATTCCGAAGATAAAAAGGTAAAACTTGCTTCTATTGAATTTTCTGGTTATGCTCTAACATGGTGGGATAAGTTGGTTTTGTCTAGAAGGAGAAATGGAGAACAACCTATTAATACATGGGAGGAGATGAAGGCTGTTATGAGAGGGCGTTTTGTTCCACCCCATTACTAGCGTGATTTGTTTAATCGACTTCAAAGCATCACTCAAGGAGCAAGATCTGTAGAAGAGTATTACCAAGAGTTAGAAATGGCGATSACGAGGGCGAACAWTGAARAAGATCCCGAAGCCACCATGGCCAGATTTTTGGGAGGTCTTCGGAAAGAAATTGCTGATGTGGTGGAGTTGCAACACTACATGGATTTGGAGGAAATGTTTNCACCATGGCCAGATTTTTGGGAGGTCTTCGGAAAGAAATTGCTGATGTGGTGGAGTTGCAACACTACATGGATTTGGAGGAAATGTTTCACATGGCTGAAAAGGTGGAGAAACAGTTAAAAAGAAAAGGAGGTTCAAGTAAGTTTTCTTCCAATTCATCTTCTTCGTCTTGTTGGAAAATAACCCGTGGAATAAAAATGAAGACCTAAAGAAGAAACATGGTAACGATTTTGATTGAAAGAAGACTTTTCCAGCAAAAAGTGACAAAAACAACCCTTCTTCTTCTCATACTTCAAAATTGACTTGTTTCAAGCATTTGGGAAAGGGACATATCGCTTCACAATGCCCCAATTCGAAAGCTATGATTATGCTTGATGATGGATCCTATTTGAGTCAAAGTGAGGATGAGGATGATGGCAACAATATGCCACCATATGAGGATGAGGAAGAACTTAACGCGGTCGATAGTGGTGACGAAAGGGAGGCTCTTGTGACCATGAGGGCATTAAACATGCAAGCTAAAGAAGAGGACAATCAACAGCGTCACAACATCTTCCATACTCGATGCCTAATCCAAGGCAAGGTATGCATGTTGATCATTGATAGTGGAAGTTGCATCAACTGTGCTAGTTCTTATCTAGTGGAGAAGTTGGGGCTGCCAACTATCAAGCATCCAAAACCATATCATTTACAATGGCTAAACGATCATGGAGAACTCAAGGTTGTGAGGCAGGTGTTGTTGAGGTTTTCTATCGGAAAATATGAAGATGAAGTTTTGTGCGACGTTGTACCCATGACTGCTAGCCATATCATTCTTGGACGCCCTTGGGAGTTTGATCGCAAAACAACTCATGATGGTTGTTCAAATAAGTATTGTTTTGTACTCAATAATCAGTCATTCACCCTTGTACCTATGTCCCCACAACAAGTGTTAAAAGAACAAATAAAATGAGAGACAAAAGACTAAAAGAGGAGAGTTTGAAAAAGTCACAAGAGAGTGGAGATGATAAAAGTGAAAAAGAAAGTGAAAAAAAAGTAGTGAATGAAAATATAAGCGGAACACTCAAGGAAGAAACCTAGTGATAAGCCAAGTGAGAATTGCAAGCACTATTAGTCTTGCAAGACCCGAATCGTTCAACCAAGAGAACTAACAAGTGAAAGGAATAACCTCACAAAATATATTGGTTTCATCAAAAGATGCTTACAAATGCTTGAGAAGCCTCC